AGAGGAAATTTAGTCATTTTAGAATAAGCAGTGAGCCAACTCGAAACGAAGCCAAGGTGAGCGTAGTTCCTAAGGTGAGCCAACTCGAAACGAAGCCAAGATGAACGTAGTTCCTACGTGTTTGTAACAATTATTGTTTTCATGATTTCGCATTAATTACCGCTATCGTGCAACCTGATTACTGAGCAACCGATCTTTTTCGAGAAATGTTTTTTTCTTCCATGAAAGTTTGTTCCACTACAAGTTACTGTCGGTTTGTGCATAGTCTACAAATGATCCACCACTCAAAAATGGCCACGTGAACCCCTTCTAATGTTAGTTGCTTTAGAGTTTTCTCGCGAAATCCATCCAGGCAGCTTCCTCGATACTGCATTTCATTCTTAACGCGACTGTCACGTCGCTGGTTCTTGAGCTGACCATTGCGAGCTGATGAAGCATTCACTTTTTCTCAGAATGAATGCCACCAAAATGCCATGTGGAACAGAGTTACGGACTCTAGTACAAATTACCCAGCCCATGGCCGCTAAATTTACAAACGCCGTTACATCCACAAAAACCAGTGGTCCAGCGTCAGTTTAAATTTCTAAGTCCATACCCACGTCAGCATGATGACGCATACGATTTATCCGTTTCTCACTATCCTCAGAGCACAAGGCCCGTTTTCATGACATGTTACACCAATGAGATTATGATGCGATGAGCTTTGGCTCCCTTTGGCGTCTACTTTTCGGTTGACCAGGATATTACAGAAATGGGTAAGCTTGAATCATTTTGTTGTACAAGCCGCGTAATAATTCTTCCGTTGTGGTTCTACAGTAGTTCCACATGAACCAAAAATATCCGACAAAATTTATATTAACCACGTCTCTGCCCATTACTGGCCTTCGTCATGACCCTCGTTTAATCGTCCTACATGTTTGCTTGATTAGATTCAGAACTGCAAGCAAGTGTCGTGGTTTTTTTCTTGCCGCTTGACATTTTGATCAACATGTCACCATAGTAACGGAATCACTAGTGAGGCCCATACATAGTAATTCGAGGAAAACTGTCCCAGCTAATGTACTATTCAACGTTACTCTGTTCATTGGTCGTACCACCTGAGATGGCATAAGGTGGAAACCCGTTCCCAGTCAGTTTTTATCTAAATTGTGTACACTTATCCTGGTTCACCCTCTCATCTATTCAACCATTTCAAAGATAGTGAAAACGTGGCACGGCTTCGCGTATTCCTAGTGGTAAGTATTGATTGCATTTTGGAATCTGGCGGAATGCGTGTAAAGTGAATGATACTTGCTATTTCACAACGTGCAGTCGGATGAGCGTTGACCAGCTGAAACCGAGTGGCCTGGTTCCATCTGCAATTTTATTCTCGTCTCGGAGCCAGCAAATGAGGAAGGCACTGTTGAGGAGTGGTTGCTGTGTTGTGTCACCCAATTCTTATTTAGAAAGTGTAAGCATAACCATTCCACAAAGTGTCTAATTGCAAAATGTGATAAAAATACAAGTGTGACATCAAAGGCAACTTTAGTATTTTGGCTGTTACCCGAAACATTTCACTGGGTGGTCTCCCTTCCCGCCGTCAGTTCTAGAGCAAGATGTTTTTCAACGTATTAGAAACATTCCATTTTATGTGTACTAGAATATATGCAATTTATAGTATAAGGTATATAATAACAACTGCATAAAATACTACATTATTATCTAGTCTATGACAATTTAAAGCCTCAATAGAAGGATGACGGTAACACACACTTTGTGAGGCATCCATGCACTCTTGTTCTTTTCTCGAATAAGGAACTACGTTTCGCTACATTAATTCTTTTGGCTCCCTTGGACTCAATATCTTAAAGGGCTGTTAACATAATACACTACTTTTTCCCAGTTATTTGAGAACAGGAACATGCTCAGAAAAAAAACGAATGCCTGCGAACTAACAGAAGATATTTTGCTCGCTTGAGTTAGTCAGATCTTGTCTAATTACACTGCAAACGCTTGTAGCTCGGTCTCTAACCTACGAGGATATTTAATATATGCGCAGGTAAACTCAAAGGAAAAATTTTGATGAACGATATTCAAGGATTTGCTTAATCTGCTACATCCTACTAAAAACCAGGTGAAACTGGCTTGTCCGAGAATATCCCCACTTTCTTTCTAGTAAGGGAGTGTAATGCAATATGAAATGTAAAATGCATCTAGCACTCGGTAACACACACTTTGTGAGGCATCCATGCACTCTTGTTCTTTTCTCGAATAAGGAACTACGTTTCGCTACATTAATTCTTTTGGCTCCCTTGGACTCAATATCTTAAAGGGCTGTTAACATAATACACTACTTTTCCCCAGTTATTTGAGAACAGGAACATGCTCAGAAAAAAAACGAATGCCTGCGAACTAACAGAAGATATTTTGCTCGCTTGAGTTAGTCAGATCTTGTCTAATTACACTGCAAACGCTTGTAGCTCGGTCTCTAACCTACGAGGATATTTAATATATGCGCAGGTAAACTCAAAGGAAAAATTTTGATGAACGATATTCAAGGATTTGCTTAATCTGCTACATCCTACTAAAAACCAGGTGAAACTGGCTTGTCTCGAGAATATCCCACTTTCTTTCTAGTAAGGGAGTGTAATGCAATATGAAATGTAAAATGCATCTAGCACTTGACAAAGACGTTTTGACATTGATTATATGTTCATCCATTTGTTACCTCTCTGGGCCACCGGCTCACAAACATTCGGCCACCAGTGAGGGAGACGTAATCAGGCACTCAAATGCCTACTGTAGATGTTTACCATATTGGCGGTAAAACGTCTGCAATCCGACTGCTAAACTGAGCAAGCGAATTAAGGGCCAACTGTTAACTACGCCTGAGCTACAATGTTGCGATGCTCGTACTTAGAAGTAGCGTAATTAACTGCGGAATTTACTGGCTATTCGTGGGGCACAGAGAGTGACAAAGAGACTCGCAAACCATACTTACAAGGTCCAAACTAGTTACCGGAATAGGCCAACCAAATTCAACCAAATGGGCCAAGCCTTTTAGCCGTTTTCTGTTGATAGATCCATCAAGAATGTCCTGCATGTCAAACCAGCTCGATCACTTTAAATGATCTCACATATCCGGAATGGAACTAGTTGTCCAAACGTCGATCAAACAGGATGGATTTTGTCTAAAATGGAGCATCACACGGCAAATTAAGCCTGGAAGATGGAACATCAGGAACATACTAGATAAATAGAAGGGTGACAGGTCTGGCTGGTGCACAGCACTTGCTGTCTTAGGATTACATTCGCGAGTTATTGACGTGGTGGAATTGGCTGAGACAAAAACGACGAACAGAAAAGCCCTTTTAAGCCAGGGCTGGGACGGCAGTCTCAAGAGATAGTTGAGTGGTACGTGGAGACAAATCTGAAGTATCCAAAATATTGTTTGAGGGGATTGTGGTGGACCGAACCGAATTAATTCAAGAATTATGACAACCGGGTTTCCACTATCAAGGAAGAATGTTGATACGTTTGTTAGTGCACTCGCGCCTGCACTATTGCAGTCTGAAGATAAAAAGCTAGTATACACTCAGGGTTTTGATGCTACTCACTCCTGCTCCCGTTTTGTTGAATAGGAGATTCAAACGACTGATGTGATTGAAATTGAGAAATCTGAAGAGAGAAGCTCTTTAGCAGTGGACAAGTAGTAAGCGGTTTTTTTTATCTGGGTAGTTCATGGGTTGTCTGTTTCTTACATGTAATCAAGTCCCGGAAAGTTCTCAATATTCAAATGGATTCGGAGAGCTAATGAGGACATTTTAGTATGGGGTAAAGAGACTTCATAGATATCATCCACAATGAACTGCTTCGTCGTGCGCAGTAGACATCAATCAGAATTGCTTTGGGCGTATTGCGCTTCAACTTGGAAAAAATTGCACCGTCCCGAAATAATTTATGGCGCTGAAGATTGTTTGGTGATAACTGACCATAGTGACCACTGATTCAAAGAAATCCGGGTAAGAAAAGTGGTTTCTATTTAGCTTCAAGTATATTACTAGATATCTGCCAAGCTGCACCGCTACATGAAAGCTCAGAATCGTAACAACGAATCTCACGGAACACTTGTGGGAATAAGTTTAGCTTTGCGGAGGATGCCATCTCCATATAGGGTTTTCGCAGCAATCAAAGGAGCTTATAGACCCAAAATCTAACGTCTGCAATTTTCCTAAGGCCTCGCTAATCGAAAGCTCCTACGGAAACATCCCTCGAAAACCGAAGGAATCAAATGAATCAAACTTCTAAAAGATTTTGTAATGTTTAAAGAAGTGCAAACAGTAGTTTCGCAAATGCAAGAAAAACAGGCCTCAGAAAATAACGAAATATCCGCTAAACTGTTCAAAGATTATGTACAAGAGCTACAGCGAGAAGCTTCCTTTGAGAACCATTCAGTCTGGGAAATTAAGGACGTTCCACAGGACTACAATTACAATTACAATATCCTTGTTTAGAGGGAAGAAGAGCAGGCACAAGACAGACAGTTGCGAGTAAGTAGGCTTACTTTGCAGTACCAACAAAAATGCCGACTGGTATTTTGGCGAGTCGGGTGAGAGATGTATTTGGTGTAGTCGTTGCAGAGGAACATCGCGGATACCGGAGGGAATGAGGTGCTGTTTGTTAAACCTTCTCACAGACACGGGGGAAAATGAATCCAAAAAAGCCAGCTTCCAAACGTTCTACTCGTATTCTCAACGCTATCCTTTGATTCGTTTGATAGAGGACTATTACGGAACATACTTCGGAAGATGGAATACTTTCCATATGTGTCAAAAATATTCAGTCATTATTGAAGACAAGTGTTTTTGGCTAGACTACTATTGTGGATTTCATCATGGTCCCAACAGCGCCAATTCCACCCACTGATGAATTCACATCCCTGGAAAACCACAGCAATATCTGAGCTCTCAGTCAGCCATAATAAGATGCCCAAAGCATCGTGAAAATTGTCTTTGAGTGTATCAGAGTTTCACTCTGTAGGGGTATATGCAGATATGATCAGCCGACAGCGACGATAGACGTACCTGCGCTATACGTAACCAAACCAAGGAAAACTATTAATCAGGGACCATTAAACTCGATCGCTCAAAATACTGGCAATTCCGGTGAAACCAGACACTTCGGCGCAAGGTCTAGCGGAAACCGATGCGAATGTCAGGTCGGTAACAGTATTTGATTTTTCATTCCCATTTCAGAGAGATAGCATTAATCCACCCGGCGTTCGAGCAATAACGTTTTATTTCCGGGCTTCTCCTAGAGATAAAGAAAGCTAGAATACTAGGTGAACTAAGCCTCAGTTTTTGACGAATGATTCCAAAGTGCCTATGATCGGAATGACCGAGTTAGCCGTAGATGTTGGAACTGACGTCCATGGGTAGAAAAGAAGTCTGCAAGTCCTTAAGAATATGCCTATGAGGTCATTCCTAGCAAAGAGAACGGGTGGAGCAGATGAAAAAACATTTGAAAAAGAAAATGGAGAGNACATTTGAAAAAGAAAAATGGAGCGTCAGCAGTGACTCTTTCCCTACCCTACTGTATGCAGCAAGTAAGGTGACTTGGCTGGTAGCACCACGTGACGGCCGATGTAGCACGAGGTTATCTGTAACGGTGGTAGTACTCATATCTGTACGTGGGCTGAGAATAAGATGCCTATCATGTTCAACCAAAAATTTTGTCTGAAAAACCTAACCACAAGTCAGCGTGACGGATATAATGCAGCTGGGGCCATAAAATAAAGCTTGAAAGACATTAGTAAAGTGTTTATAGAAATCGTCGTCTGATACCTCTTCAAAGTATTATGCGCATATGTTCGTAAAATTGGATCTCGGAAACACACTTCTTCAGGGTCCACAGAAACAAGGGATCAAGGTTATCCTAATGCATACTTAACTGCATCAGTCAGGTTATTCGTCAAGTATGACTTCGGATCGGATTTCAAAACAATTGCCGTGGGACTGGTTCAAAAATGATGCGCAAAATCGAGGAAGACCTGAACTGTAATCTGCATTCGGACTGCTGGTGGGTTTCACCTGTGTAAAAATCTGGCGCTCGACATGGCGATCCTACAAGCATGTCACGATTATCCAGGATGCATTTAAAAAGTACAGAATCAGTAGGACATGTTTTTAAATAGGCTATTGTCTAGGCCAAGCCGCATCTCGCTCATACTCAGCATGTTGAAATCAAACCACTAGTGGCAACCACAGAGTCCAGAAGTTTTCAGTCGGTTAACCGCGGCTGACCTTAAAACCTACCACGTTCAACTCTTGAACCTGGCAAAGGGAGCTTTTGCATTTGGCCATTTTCTTACAAGTTGTACACGCTGAAGTTGCAAATCTGTTTTTCTTCCGAACTGTATTCCCTTTGCAGTGTGGTTTATCGCTTTTGAGACGATCACTTGTGCGAAAATACACGGATGTTGATATCTCATGACTTAATAGAAAGTTGAATACGGTTTACTGGTTAAAGATATTACAACACCATCTTAGGATTAGTTTTAACCAAATAGTGTGTGAAAAATTTTTCCGTCAAATTTTCAGTTCCAAAGCGGTCCGGGCGGCTTAGATAATTCAAAACGCAATGCGTGTGCGGTGTCACACGGTGTGAAATGCAAACAAATGATCCGTCCCTTACCACGTCACTTGATCTGAGCGCACGTAAATTAATGCCGATGTTTTCTTTGATCTTACCGAGTCAGCGTCAAGAAATACTAATCGTATGAAAGTGATAAAAATTTGTCCGACTTTGAAACATGCGAACGATTAAAGTAGTTTTCAGTGCCTATACCTGTACCAACAATACTCTAAGTAAATCAACAAGTTTGTGGGTGTTTATTTTACACCAACATTTATGCAAAACGGTTTTCCGGAGTTCAGTCTACAGTCCTCACATTTGGTCCGTTTGGATGTGTCCAGTCCAACTCAAAAAACACCAGGCAGAAATAGTTTGCACCACGACACTGAGATCAGTAGTATCCCACCAGGTGCAAAGCGCACTGCAGAAAGGGGAATGACGCGTAAAACACGGACAGTGAATTTGAGGGTAGCATTTAAAGTGTACGGCTTGAACCAATTCATTTAATGATCTTCTACCTGTTTAGTTCCAGAGCAAAGCCTACAAGGCAGCATTTAGTTTCCCGAAAGCAATCTTTGAACACTAATCACGATGCAGATTACCAACTTATTTGGAGAACCAATACGAAGTCGTACTGATAAATTCAAACGCACCCAGTTTCCTACTTTGATTGATGAACAGTTAGTTGGGACTCAAACAAAAAATGGTTATTTAAGTCTGACCAGCAGATCAATTAGCGATCACAGTCTGCTAACACAGGTAGGCCAACAAACACAAAATCAACTGTTTTTCCACAAATACTGTGTGAATTACTTACGCTGATACGATATAGATTCACTCAGCTGAGGAAAGGAGGCTCAAATTAAGCTCCGTACTACTAAAAATGGAGACAGGAGGATTGTTCATAGCTTAGAGTTTGTGTGCGTATAAAGTCAATCACACAGACTGAACATTACTTTCCTGGTAAGGAAAACCATGTGCATTATGTCAGCTGACACTAGCTGTACTACGCCACATCGACGAAGGTGGGGCAGCAAACTCGGGAAGATTTTATCGTGAGTTTGAAGGTGGAAAATATTTACTCAGTAATCTGACGTGCATTTTAAAGTTTGACGTCATTGTTCAGCCCAAAATGATCAATTTGATTGTGAACACTGCGGATATCCTGTTTTTAGCACAACAGAATCCAGGTTGGTACAGGTCTTGATCAAGTAGTAACTTGCCCCAGTGTCGATTTGCATGCTTGCCTCTGATTTTAACTGTTGAAGTCAACGTTATGATTTACCCTAACGATTTATTATAGAAGGTCCCTCGGTGCAAGCGACGAAAGATTAACAATGCATATACTTTCCACCGCTTGGTCTCTCCTGAGATTATTAAACATATTTATAGCCGGGTTATCAGTGTCTATTTCCACCATATAATAAGCGACATTCGGTAGTCAACAGTGAGCAAAGGACAATAAAAATCAGGCTGCAACGGACGCCAGTCAACAAGCTGACCTCGTAAAACAACCCCTTTGTAAATGGCGAAAGGAACCATGTAAAAATCCGCTAGATCACTCGCAGACTTTTCATAACAACGGGACCACACCAAACTGAATGCAGTCATATCACATGAGAGACAAGAGTTTCTGGGGGTAATTAGTAACATCTTGCATGTTGTATATCTTGTTGTTGTATATGCCATATTGTTTCTTGTTTCTCATTCCTAGGCTGCTCTGAGTTTATTTGTATGCCTTATCATTTCCCCCAACTCTCGTTGTTTTTCCTATACAGACCTGTTAAGATCAGCCGGCTAATCTTTGAAAAACAGACCACCGTGATGAGCAACACTTTAGTGAATTCTCACTAACATCAGAAAACAAGGAACAGTCGCACCAGTTTAGTGTGCATAAAACTCAATCTATGACTTTTACCACGCTGCCACCAAACTATCTGCTTGCATAAATGAAGCGTAGCTGCAAATTAACACCAAAATGGCCGGGATAAATGACATATGCCAATTAATTAACCAAGAAGTAAACATGTGCTGTTGGAATACTTTGAAAAGTGAATTTATGCAAATGAGGGTATCCCCCTTCCCCTATTTCTCCTTCAACTTGAATTAGTGTATCGGCAATCTAATTAGCTGACACTAGCTGAAACCGTTCCGTCGTTCCAGCTCACCTATAAAAGGTGGAAAAGACTTGACCCTTATTCTACACAAATGTGCTCTGGTAACGGAGGTTGGACAAAAAGGGAAACGCAACAAATCACTGTAGATTTAAACCTGTTCTGTTTTCAAACTGCGGTATTTATGCACACAAACGAGCTAAAGGCGAAAGTTCATGTGCTAATCGGCTAATCAGGAAATCGCTGTGAAAGCGTTTGTGCCATTTGTTAGTAGAACCTTGGTTGCTGCGTCCATTCCTAATTACTCAAGCTGACCAGGTAGGGGACGGATATTAGACGTGACAAGATATATGAAAACTTAACCATTTAAGTGAGCTTGGTCTTGAACGTTGAATGAGATTTTTTTGCTCATATAATTTGTAATATATATTGGAAGAAAACATGGCAAACATGTCTCTGGCAAAAGCGAAAATAACCCGCCTCTTTCTGTCAAAACCAGGTTTTCTGTTTTTAACCTGAGTAGGTATATGGGAGGAAAACGCCCATAACTGGATTATATTCAGTATGACAAATCTGGTCTAAGAAAGGCTATCAAGATAGAGAACTCAGCAATCGAATCACGAATTGACTGGTTTCGGAGTTATCCCAAGTCAGAGATGAACACTGTAAAGGCAAATCAATTGCCAAGCTCGGCGAACAGATCAACAGCCACCTGATCAGTTACCAACTGTAAAGGCATTTAGAGGTACCAAGCGCACAACTTTGATTAGTCAGTATCAACGATGTGGGAATTCATAGGATGGTTTCAATAACACCATACGATTGTTTCTAAAGGTCACAAAAACACGAAGTACTGTTGGTATAACGGTAAAAACAAGTTAAGGGTTAGATTAAGAACAACGCGTGCATTATCATCAGCGGAGTGTTATTTTCTCATCTTTGGTCTCTTAACGTAGCTGTAGTGTGACAGCAGTGTTTCAGAAACTGCTGCTCACTTGTTGTGGTTCAATTCGTCGGAGACGGATTTTCGTGAATTTGCGAATCTTTTCCAATATTATCTTTCTGCCGAACCACAAGGCACGAGCGAGTCTAAACCTGGCAAGGTAGTAGGCTTCTTTGAGGGATCCTTTCCTTAGACATGGTGGCTCATTACTGCTGTTGACACCTGAATAGGTGACTGTTCTTTGTTCGTATAAATTTTTACACACTAAAGTAAATTCGAACAACCTTCCACGGGGATCCCCCATTTGTTTTCCGTAATCTAATGCATCAAAGCACCCCTGAGGTGCTTGGTGCTCGAGGTGCACCGCACATATTGATGGTAGGTTATCACCGTCCTCAAGCCGATAAATCCTGAAACGTACTCAGCCACGTAGCCTTGATGCAAGACATCTTGCAACAGACAATAAACCCAAAACTATAACCAGATTAGAAGAGGATATTGGTCTACTTGATCCTACAAGTTTACGGTCAATGTCACATCACATTGGTCAACATGGGCAGATAAGTTAATGATGCGTCCACTCTAGCTGATTTTATAATCACCTGGAGCGAAACTAAGACGAGGTCAGTAGTGCACTGGTCGGTCAGTGGACAAATAGGCTGCAAACAAGCGTTGAGTGGCTCAATCAATTCCCTCTACGCTGGTTTGGATTCAGTCACAGCCTTTCTCTCAGGGCCGTTTTAGGACTCACAAGATTTACGGATAAGACTGATTCGCAGTATCGAACCCCACTATCAACTAATATGAAGTTGGAAGTTCATTTTGAAAACTAGATTTAAGGAAAAGGTTTAACCGAAGCGTCAGGCCCTCGGGAACAGTTTTTGAGTTTCAGTATTACTAATGAATTTTTGAAATGGCTGACCACAACTGAAAATTAAATACGGGCTGGGTTACACGAGGTGTAGTCTAACGAGAAAACGTTGCTTCAGCTCCGTAGTATCTCTAAAGAGAGAATCTATCTACAGTGGTTTATAATAAACTTCGGAACAGTCTTTATTTAGCTGGCGCACTGGGGAATGATTAAGGGTGACGTATTTAAACTGATCTTCCCTGTTTGCCGGTCCGTCTACCCACAAGATATAATGCCTCTGGCCCTTCATACCTTTTTTTTAGCAAGACAGTCGGATGATACGTATGCTTCCTCAGCCATGAAAAGCTCGCAGGCCAGTGAAAAACATCCAATCGTACTGCGCGCACGTGCACGCTGAGGGTTTTTCAACTCCACAGCAAGGATCTCCTCTCAGCCAAATTCCATAATACCCTGAAAATCTGTTGCTTTCACATATATACATACATCTGCGTATGCTTCTGCACTACTACTTAATTATACCACTACACCTATTCAGATATGCGAGCTGGAATTTGTCTCATAATTCCTGGCAACAGACGCATCTAAGTAGATCATCGCGCTCGTCTGCTTCGTGATGGAAATCGTTCATTTTACGTCACCATTACACCCGTTCTTAGGGTACAGCTGTCAGTACAGAAATCATAGCAAGGCATAAGCATATCAACTGTACCAATTATAAGAATGAGCGTCGAGCATCTCAGTTTATTAGGAAGGAACTCTCCGGCCAAAATTCGCTGGCATCATCCAAGTGGTTAGGTTAATGCATTATGACTCCTCTTATCAACACATCATGTCCCCAGGTTAAATTTTCCACATCTATCGGAGATTCGGTTTCCTGTTGTCTGTTTTTCATATCCGTACGGGTTTTCTTTGTCTGTCCCAACGGGAGAGGCCAAACAAACAAGGTGACATTAAATTAAATGAACCATTACAATCCTGTCAAATCTTGGTTTGTGTACGGTTGTAACGGGAACTACTGCTTTGCACTCCCAATAAGACGACCTCAGAGCACTTTAGAATATCAGAGCATCGGTTTGAGAAAAACTCGTTTACATTTCTGAGTAGTCTCAACCTGTAAAATTGGCAATCCTTAGACCTGTATACTTGGTTATCATTTGGCAATTTGCTTGCCTCATGAGCTCTCACTGGTTTTTCTAACATTATTCTATTGGAATCCTATTCAAACTGACTCTGTTCAGCACACCGAAAGGACGGAAAACCGAACATAAAATCGGGAAGCAATCTCCCTACTAAATGAGCAATCCCCTCGCGACAGAATATTCCACTTTTTCTTTGTCATCGAATATAGAAGGTCACCTGTAAACTTAAAGTGACTACACTAGAATATGTCACACGGAGCAAGACCTTGTCTGTCCGATTTTGGAGTCGAATTCTTGAGGTGAAATGCAAAGTTATAAAGTCCAGTCAGCGTAAAAAGAAGTAGACAAGTGGTAAGGTGCTTTTCTCCTAAACGAAGTGGAGTATTTACCCAAATCAATCGCAGATTCATCTGATACGTCCACATTCTCGCTAATGTCTTATTACTGAAGAAGCGGGTAGTCCGTAGATCGCATATTCTTTCATTGTAGTTGGTCTCTCAGCTTGAATTCAACGGGTCTGAAACTGTCAATCGCTTTATATGTCCCAGTGTTTGTGGTCTTCCAAAAGCCAATTTACCTGTTTGCCTGCTTAGCTAGAAACATTTCAACTTAATTCCAGTTACCTAAAAGAGTGGTGGAAAAAGCCTGTTCAAACAACTCAACCTGAACATTATTGGAAAACCAGGTGTGAACCTTTATGTCATTGCACACAATGATATTTTTCATGCAATTGGCGCAAAAGATATTGGCGACAGAAGCAGGCATTCCACGCAGCCTGGGCACCACCCCAATCTTACAATCCCTTTCCCCATGCAGGACAAATAGATGGTGGTAGATAGTTCATTTCAGTTACCAGGACAGTTTGTTCGCTTCAAACTTACTTGCTAACGGGATTGCTCAAAATGTTCCACTGTCAAGCAGATATCCTGTTTTGATCGTAGACTGAGCGACAAAAATCGGAGCAGATCACAATACTTTTTCAACCTGCGCTTCCTCTGTGACCATGCATATATATACATACATATGCTGCAGCAGGGTTAGACCTTAAGGCATAGGAAAGTCACTAGATAGCAGGCCAAATTCCCTCTTATCAACTGGTCGTTGAGGTTTCCAAACTACTTTCGGCTTTTGAGGAAAATAAAGCGGCAGAAATCGCCGAAGGTGACAAAGATGAATAAAAAGCACCTGTCTAAACTTCCTTGCACGATGCCATCTCACCTAAGCTTAATACTCAGAAAGGGAAATTGAGATAAAGCAGAGGAGAGCTCTACTCTTCATTCAGGTTGGCCACACCGGTTGGCCCAACATGCAAGCCAAGACTACTGGGAACAATGTCAATCAATCGACTCAAACCTGTACTTTTCGCAAAGAATGAGTGGTTCAACACAACCGTTTGACGAAGAACATCATAAACGAAAAATTTAGCTAAATTCACTTGAGTCATCCGATCAAACCAACCCCGTGTGCAACCTGATGTTTTTCACGAAGTGCGAGCAATGTGGGTAGGACCTAAGGTTGGAGTCTGAGTCTACCCGATGAACCCCAAGGAGGACAAGACTGGTTGGGGCTGTCGAAGTTTTTTCAGTGTCTTTATAAATGGGCTGGTTCATATCCAGGGTTGGTAGGTGACTTTGAAGCCGATCGCGTCTTACTGATTGATCACGCTTGCCTTTAGTTTGCTTGCTCCATTTTACATCCGCTGCTTCGGACCGGATCGTCTGAAATGTCGTTTCTCCTACATTGTACATCTTGACTCATGGGTCAGAATGCCTGACATTCATCCACTTACTGCCTTTTGGTGGTGCATACACGTCCTGGCTTCCGTGAGTGAATGTGACCACTCTCAAAATTACTTTTCACTCATATCCAGCTGTACCTGAAAACCACAAAAGTCCTTGCTCCGTAACCCTTCAAGCGATCCGTGCTGCCTCTGCTCCCCAATTGTGGAGGAAACATAATTTGTGGCAAATCAACCGTTTATAGATATGTTTATCAGTGTAAGTTACCAATGAATGGCACAGTAAGTAGTGAGCTCACGGAGAAGCAGGAAGCATGGTCACAAAGGCCACCTGAATAGTTCATATTCACTGCCTTTGAATAAACGGAGATTTATGATTTCACAATGCCATTTCAAGACGTGAACAACTGTGCCCAATTTAAATAATCTGTCCGGTTCAAGGAAGAAACTATGTTTTCGCCAACTGTGTAGACTTCTGCTATTAGGTGAACAATGGAAACCAAGCCGATCATTTGAAGAGCTTGAATAATCAGAGATGCAGTGCAGATTCCGACTGGCATCTTCGCATTCGGAGCTGCGTAAACCTGAATTACATGAAAGACTTTTTCTATCTTCGAAGTATTCAGCCCACCGGTCAAGACATTTTTATTTATTCAAGATGGTCACTCCTTTCCAATCCTTAACGGTTTCACTTACGGGTGGTTTCCGGGGGCCGGTCGCACTGAAATAATCTTCGCGCATTGCCGGTTTGCTGGGCTTCTTTGTCTTCCTTGGCTTTTTGTGTCCACTACGGTCGGGCCGCACGCTCACTTTCCCTCGACTTCTGATAATTCGTCGCACCGATTTGTGTTCGGGACCGGCTGAGATATTTCTCCGAGTTTTAAGCAGTACCGCCGTTCGGCCTGACATCCAGTGCTTAGGTGACCTGTTGGTCCCATGCTACATGTACTATACAAAGAGGTGGCAATCTTGTCCCAGTAAGAGTTCACATCTGATGGCGGAGCGTTTGGAAGTGACTCAAGGAGACGATTCTGGTAAGTTCATCTAACATCCGGATCTGCCAGTCTCTCAGTTGCCAGGTGATTTGCACGCAACTTACGCGGTCCAGGGAAACGTAGGGAGAAGCGACTCCGGACGAGTGCGTGGTTAGAATCCACAAACGTGTTCCAAAAAGGCCGGCAGTCAGTTTTTGATCCACACCATCTTTAACTTACGGCAATGTGGTCGATATGAGTTTGTGGTCAGTATGGCGCCGGAGGACACTATGTGGCCAGAGGACTTCGGCTATTTCGGAAGTTGGTACTGCATAAAAACGGCCTGTTGTCAGCAAACAGGTGAAGCAATCGTTTCCCATTTTCCGTACGCATCGGGTCCGAACAATGTAAACCTCCTAAATAAGTCCCAGATCTGCTAAACCCGTCCACTTGTGCATTCATATCTGCGTAAACCACCACGATATCTGAGCCTTTAGCTCACCGCAACAGGGCATTCAGGAAGTCTGCCTTTGTTATCAGTTGGGGCGGATGCAGACACGATATACAGACATCAATCAAATTTTCGCTTTTGTGACTGCTTCACAGATGTTGCCAGAGGAATCGCACACAGGCGTCTGTCATCAGGCAGGGATACTTCCGCCCGGTGAGTTAATGCGATATCGATTCGAGCACATCCCGCCGCAGCAGCCTCTGGATCACCAGAGGTGCCTAGCCGGAAGCGAGTGGAGAACGATGAGGCGATTAGCACAACTGTTGTGCTTGCGTCTTGAATTGTTGTATCTGAGGCACTGTACACATCAATGCAAAGCGATTCCAGTGTGAGAACAAAAGCAGCTTGTTGTCCTTCAGCATGCGAGCATTGAAGGTTGCTAGATAGACTTGGCGCCGAGGCTTGAAGTTTGATTTCGAGATACCTGAAGACGAGTAGATGTCGCGCGCAAAACCGATTCAAGACGAACGGAGTCATCATTCCTATGTGCTGGGCCTACATGGGGAGAGATACCAGTGGGGTAGGGAGGAGGGAAGAAAAAGTATGTGAAAGAAAAAGAAGGGAGGCATCAGCTATAGCCCGTATTTTGCTTATCTACCCTGTTGTATGCAGCGAGCAAGGCGACCCGATTGGTAGCACCGCGCGACGGCCAATGTGACATGAGTTTATTTGTATATGTGCAGTTCATGTTTGTACGTGAGCCTGGATCCTGCCAGGGCGCCCACACCTAGACAGGAGGGCGATTAGGGTCACACCGTCACACCACGGTAAGGTCCATTCTCTTAGTGACGGCAAAGGTTCACCCAAATCATGAAATCTTGTTTTTTATGGTGACAGAGCTACCAAAAAGCGAGAAAGGACATTGAGCAGCTTAAAAAGCATCGGTCCTTTACACAGATCAGCCGTAATCCCAGGTCATCCCAAGTTTATTCAACTTTTATCGCGTGAAAACAGTATTCTGAATAGAATTCCATCTGATCAGTGAGACATTCTCCACTGGGACGAGTTTAAATCAGTATAAACTCTCAGACCCGGTTCTTTCAAAAGAAAACTTACATCAGTTTCCCATAGCGTAAAAATGAGTGGAGCGTTGCCAGATTGGTTCTTGGCTACATATGGGGTTTTGAAGATCAACTGACAGGTCAATTCAAAATTGGACCACCCACATATTACGACAGCTTTGCTGTCCATCATAACCACAGAATGTCATGTTTTACGTTGTGCTTCCCTGAATACCAGCATGTTTCACCATCAACTGACCCTGCATCCCATCTACGTCAAAAGTTGCTTGCGAATCACACGACAGCTCTTCGCGTCAATCATCTTAGAGTGCACCAAGGAAACGCAGGTTTCAAAAGTTTCGGAAGCAACAAGAATGAATTCTAATTCAATATACATTATCTAGCAGGCGACCGAATACGGAATTATAGGTGGTCAAAATGTTGACCACCTAGGGAAGGTAACTTTATTGAAATAAGCTGAATTCTGATAGCCCAAATGGATAAATAAATTTTGCGTCAAAAACCAATTGATATTAATTTCCTTTTAACCACTATAAAAATGCTTTAGGGTCTCAGAATTTGATACAAATTCCAACAAGGTGTATTACAGTCAATACAGTCGTTTGAATAAAATGGTGTTTTAATGTTTGTACCATATAGCTCCGTTGCCTGATCAGTACCTTCGGATAAAGACACGAATTTTCCGATTAGACATTCATGTACACCCATGGTTCAGAACAAGCCAACAAGAGGACTAGATTAGGTAGTTTTTAACCTTTCCGGATTACAGCCATTTATCAAAATCACTGGTGTTAGTTCTCGCTTCCCTGATCAAGAACAGATAATGTGCGTGCCTAGATATTATAGTAAAAACGCGAGACTATACCAAATATGCCCGGGAACTCCCATGTCTTATTATACATTAAACTACGGGGAGAAAAATGCTATAGAGACCATTGTGATTTACGAAATATGAACACCATTGTCAATATGCTGTAAATGCATTAGTAGTGTTTTTGGAATTCACATCAGTACTAGAAGTACAGGTGCGTTTGCAAGCATTGAAGAAATGTGAGTTGAAACCCGAAAAACATATTTGCGGAGGCAAAATTCAGACAGCTGAAAGAGTAAATTACAGTCATGTAACATGACTTGGGTCTGGCCATTCCCGACCGATCGGTAGCTAGTTTAACTTACACAATTCAGGGCATAACAACTTGGACCTATTATTCCAACAGCATTTACCGGTCACTGGTGGGCGGTAAATGATAGACAGATCAACTAAAATCCGGCAAACGGGTTTCAATGTTTCATTTGGTTTGATTTGGTGACTTGTCTCCCTCAACCTTCACGTTGTCGTTGTTGATTAGCTCTCTAATTGAGTTTCGGCAGGCATCGCACAAAGTTCATTGGTTCTGTGAAACAAACATCGGGTTGACCATTACTCAGAGTTTCTCATTTGAAATGCGGGATAAACAAAATATTCCGTTTCGTTTGCTTGATTCCGATTCGCTGCGCGAACCGACAATAAATGCCAACCTAATAACAGCAAATTAACTTTTTCGATGAAGCCCAAATTATTCAGAAATCCCAGACATCCCGATCAGCTTTTCCTGGTAACACTGGTCAAAGCATTTTATGCCTGTAAATTCATACATGCATTGCGTGTACCCGAATACGATGCTGCGGTCCCTGCAGTCTCAATGTACCCGGTCGAAAATAAGATCGAATGGAAAACGTTGACAGGCCTAATACAAACTGTCATCAGGTCTGAATATCATGGCCTAACATGAGATCACTTCACCGATTACTTGTGTAGGCTCGGAAAGCCAGCGCTATTTATCCGTTTTCGCGTGAGAATGCACGTCTCTCACCATAGGCTTACTGTAAACACCCATTTCCGTGACATCCACATGGTTTTGGGGAACCTGAAAGCAAATAAAAAAATATACACAAATTTGATAAACAAGAGAGTTTTACTGTCTCAGGTCATTCAGTTGGTAGTCAGTTTGTCCACCAAGCCTGGTAGTTTTGTTGCAAACGTTGCAAACTACTCAGCGCAACACCAACAAACTATAGCTCTACTTCACGTCATAACAATGCGCCAATGATATCACCTTGAGCAGTAAACAAATGACAGTACAAAATGCTTTACCTAGAGAACATTTCAACTACTATATATAGGTATATGAGCAAACGAATTGCATGCAGCGCTAGTACTTTGACTTACCGTTCTTTGTACTCTTGCCACTTCTCTACTTAGGATCCTCAAAACTGGAATGAGTACACCCTGATCCATGTATTTATTCGGTACACGTGAACACAAGACTAAATTTCCAAACCCCTAGAAATGCAACAAAGGTACTATTTTCGCCAAAGCAAGTTAAAGCAGAATTTTGGACAAAACTTCACCACTTGATTACGCAGAGTAATGAGCCAAAAGAAGCTTCAATTTTCGAGGTATAAATACCATCTTATGAGCGTGAGTGATGCACACTAGATATGTGTTTCTGCAGTTAGTGCTCCGTATTGTGTTTGAATCGGCTATTAAGAGGCATGTATCTAATGGCGAAAACTGAACAGACTATAAAAAGTTTAGTGAACCAGAAACGGCATGTTTTGCATAGACTGTTACCCTAGCAGGATGTTGCTTCTAAATGCCAAAAAATAGTAAGCTAATCCGGGAAAACGTAAAAAGGGCCCATAACTGAAAGGCAAAGTTTTTGAATTTTTAGGTGATGAGGTCACAGGGCGGAGGTCCCCAAGTTAGTTGTAAAGAGATCTATAACCAGTAAATGCTGGTGTATTAGACAAGGGTAGATGGTACATTTGCAAGTAATGGTATCAAGTATCTATATATTTCCAGATATGCTGGAAGTTCAGACGAGGTTGTGATATCCCAATAGGACGACGCATCCACAGAAAACTCGAAATCCAAAGTATCCCGGTTTTGCAATAGTTCCGCAATTGGGCAGCAGATAGTTCGGAGCTGACCCCATTCGAGAAGGTTGTGAATAACAAGCCGTTTCAATTAACCACACAGGGAGCCTTGAAAATTGAGCATAATAACATAGCGAAACATATATTCTGACGTCATGAAAAAATATGATGGAGTGTGTATTTCGGATACCATGAAAAGAACACACAACAGAACAAAATAAAAGTGTTCTTTTGAGCAATCTGTCATTTCCTCAAAATCCGTACTAGTGACCATGGAATTCACGTAAACAAATAGTCGGCAAGAATGGTATATGCAGGGAGTAAATAGATGAAAAATTGATGGAAGTGGTTAGATAATCAAACTGGTTATTTTCAGTTAAATTTTCTATTTAAACATTAAATTTTGAGAAAGTTAGCCAATCAGACGGTATATATAAATGCAACTCATTTTTATCACCTTGTAGTGATAAATCCTTAGAAGTC